TATGGGAAGTAAGACTGAAGACATGACATCATGGAGCTACACAGGTTGTTGGCTGGATCTGAAAGGTGTTCAGAGTTCATCTCCAGACTCTAGAGCGTCTCTGCATCTCAAGTTGGTGCTCACCACTTCTATTGGTTTTATTATATTTACATGAATTTATTTAGTCTCCAGTTTGTGCTTTTTGGATTGTTTTAAGTCTTAATCCATGGGATGAGTCACTCCCATTATTTTCTTTGTAGAGGCCATATGACTTTGATTATGTGGAGTAAAATTATCTTAGCTCATAAGTAAAAATCAAGCACACAACTTTGTCTTGGGAACAGAGAATATACTTGAGTTGAAAAAAGATATGACAATGCAACAAAATAATCAGTTTTCCCCCAATTCAGTTTATATAAACTACTCATTGGCAAGAAGAATTTTAGGAGAGACCTAAGTCTGACTTGCATTCACATTACACAGAATGTTTATTACTGCACTAATGGGTATAATCTCTCACATAAATTATCTGGAAAAAGAAATCGCAAATATATATTTATGTATTCCATGAAATGTTTCCATAGATACATGATAAGATAAGGCATACATACCCAAGGAACTCTGAAACTCCGCCAATTCCTGCAAATTTCAAAGATTGAGGCCCTTCTCTGGCAAGCTCCTACTCAAAATAAGTCACAATTAATCAAATCAATTAAACATCTTTAGTTTCATTAAAATACTAAAAAAATCAGAATTAGCAGGAAACTGACGAACATAAAGACCAAAAGAAATTCCATATCTTACTTCTTCTTCAGCAGCCTCTAGACCACCTTGAACCCAAAAAAGATTTCTATATCCAGAATTATATAGTAGCTCACAAGCAGCTAGAGATCTGCCAGAAAAGTATTGTTCAGTGAAGAAAAATATGCAACACTAAATTAATCATCTAAAGTGCATGGAAGAAATTTATGTTCAATTTGGCATGCTCAGGCGGACCACTCTTGCTGGACAATAAACTTCTTATACGGTCTCGATTGTTTTCTAAATTAGTGTCCATAAGTACTCATAAAGGATATCTCTTATGTAAGGAAATGAACATGCTGATGCACCATGATTATCAGAAGCCTTTCAATAAATCAAAAGATAATGCTATTAAGACAACCCAACAACTGAAAAATATCATATGGTACTTGCAATTCTCTATAATTATTTCAAGTCACAAGTTTATCTTTTTGAGCAATTTATTGCACAACACATTGACAATCCATATCATAATAGAAAAAAAAAAAATTAAACTAAAGTTGTCTGCAGATCAGGCAGAGATATCCTCTAGCTTTCTGTAAGAAAAAAATTATCTTTCCACTTGAAATGAAATGAAATTTTTTTCCCTAGGGAAGAAATGAAATTAGAAAGAGATTTTCCTTTCAGACTAAGACTAATTAAAAAATAAAAGTTAACACACTCCTATTGACCCTTAGCATTCTTTCTGTCTAAAAGTTTAAATCAATTTTAAACAAAAAATTTACCTCAATCCTTTCTGGCATGCAACAATAAGGTCTGTGTCTTTTGAGAATTTCTCCTCAACTTTTGATAAGAACTGGCTGTTAAAGGAAATTAGGCAATTAATAAACAATGCACTAGAAAAGAATATGCTCACCCAAACAGTCAGGCTAACACACAACAAACAGAATCAATGGGTATAAATAAACGAGAGGAATGAAAACAAATAACAAAGCACCTATCATAAGACAATGTAGGCATGCCACTCCACCAACCTCCTAAAGAAATCATAAAGCAGCAGATTAGTAAGAATTATGCAATAGCTATTTATCAGGCAAATCATTACTATTTTAAAAAAGGAAGATAGCATTAGCTGAGCAATACCCATCACAAAATTGGTGAGCTTTCTAGAAAGAGCTCCAACATCAAATTTACTGTCAACATCAAAAATTGGAATCCACGTGGAGCCTTTCACCCATGCCTTAAGAACATGGTAAAGAAAATACCACATTACAATCATGAAGAGAAATGAACAAACTTAATAGGTTCATGATTATTTGCTACAAGAAAAAAAGGAAAAACTGAAAAATAATAATAGTCTCTCTTTTTAATAACAATAAAAATAATAAAAAAACTTATACTAGACTGAACTTTATGCACCAAATTTTCAATATCAGCAAAGAGCACTTGAACAATATATTACCAGTGCAACTGAAATATGATGATTTCTATATGGATTACTAAGGTTCAAATGGGAAGCACAGAGGTTTGATTATTACACTTTTCAACCAGACAATACCACCTAAATGAAGAAACTAGAATCCCTAAGTACATTTTGATTATAAAGACAGGTGAACCAAAGGAAAATACGGCTTAATAGGCATACATAGAACAAAGGTTGCAAAATAAACATGTTACCTTTTCACGTTCAGTAGAAGGACGGACATCAAGTAAAGGTTTGTTAGAAAGTTGAACTGCATAACCTGCCTCCCTAGGTGTGAGAACCTTTACTTTTCCTTCCCTGATCTACAACAAAATGCCAGAACCATGAATTCTTATCCTACGTTAAATAGTATTGCATATTTGATTGCTCAATTAAGATGTCTTGGCACTTGAACATTCATACCACTATCCAAAAGGGAAAGGCAAAATTAATTTTAAATTGATAAACTATTGAGCCAGGATCCATTTACATACGTGTAAGTCTTACATAAATTTACATAAATTATCAACCAGTAAAACGTTGAACTGATGGTGCTATATTTACAGCTCAACTGTTGTAACATTTGATAATTTATGCAAAACTTACACGAACACAACTGTAAGTGAATTCTGACTCTAAAAATTGTCTAAAAGCATTCTAAAAACTCCCCAAGATAATGCAGTCCATAATATAACAAAAACGGAACTTAGCATAAGCTTCTAAAGGAACAATCATGTTAGATATTACTATAGTAACTGCTCAAGAAAAGGGTTTAAAAAAAAAAAAGTTGTTTACTTGGAAATATAGGAAATACCAGAGCATCCCATCTCTTCTTTGCAGCAGCCACATCTCTCATTTGCTTCAACTCGTAGTCCTCCTCACCAGCTTGCATTCGAATCACACCACATTGCTGAATTCAAAGTACGCAACATTTAAATCAAAGAAGAAAACAGTAATCAAACGTAAAGTGAAGAGAAATGCACACCAGATTCTTAGCATAAGCGGGTCCGAGTCTCCAAGAAGGGATCTTTGAAGAGTTTAGGTAACGGGTTTTTGCCCAAAATTTGATCGTCGGTTTGTTCTGCGAATTAGACCGCGAAATCACGAGAAGCTTGGGAAAAGGAAGAGCCAGAGACGCCATTTTCCTGGCTTTTTTGTTTCAGGTTTTTTCTCTTTTTTTTTTCTTTTTCAATCAGTTTCCTTATCTTCGGCAATCTCCGGGCTGTTGCACTGAAGTGAAAACGGGACTTGGAAAGCGGGGCCTGCTAATTCCGGATAACATTCTGCTGGGGACAAAAGAAGTTCTTAACTTCTTATCCATCTGTTTGATTGATCGCCACTTTTTCCTCCTTTGTGGTTGTGTATGTCGTTGCTCTCGTATAGTTAATAATTTTGTGCAATTTAATATAATTTAAATTAATAATGATATACTTAGTAATATATATAAAATTATAGAATTTTTTTTTTTTACTAACCTCTCGGTATTTAAAAATTATATTTAACTTTGATTAATCCGAAATCGAGTTGGGTCGGACCCTATATGAAGAAAACTTTTTCAACACCTGTTTTTCTATTCACAAAACTCACATTCGATATCTTGTTTAAGAAAAATCAAATTTCTTTCATTCGAATTAATAAATTATTGGTTAAAATTATAGATTTATAATTAATAGTTTGTTAAATAAATATATATTATATAATAAAAAATATATATTATTTATTTAATTAAAAATTTAAAAATATATCTTATAAATGTTGATATTTATATTAAAAAATTAATTATATTAAAATATATAATAAAATTTTAATTTTTAAATATAGATTATGACTTTAAATTTTTTTAAAAAAATTAAGATTAATATACAATAATATCATATTATATAGAAAATCAATATTATAAATTTTAAAAAAAAAACCATTAAAATTATAACTATCTAATTTTCAAGTCCGAATTGCACAAAAACATTTCTGATTGTAATCTCCTCCATCTACCCTATTATATGATGTCACGTGACTCCTTCTCTTCAATTTTACCTTAGTACAACAATTGAGTAATAGAGGGCTTATTTAGTATTGACAAGTTAGTGTAGGGGTATAAGTTGGAATAAATGAAAACAGAAACGGAAGAACCTACCTGAACAACAACACTGTCTCACAGCTTCCTCGCGCTAGCCTCCGTCTTCTTCCTCTTCTTCTTCTTCTTCTTCTTCTTCTTCTTCTTCTTCCTCCTTACCTTTCAATTTGATTATTGAAAAGACTGATCCTTCCTTGGTGATTAGTGCCAACGAGAAACATGGTGGGATTGACAAGGCAAAAAGTACGTTATTTTCTCGTCTCCTTCAATTAAGAAATGAAATCTTCAGATATTGGCGCACTCCCTGCCATACTTTTTTCCGGAAAGTACCAGCTTTGACCTGAACTTACACACCTGTAGGTGCCGGAGAGGTAGTTTCAGCTTTCAAACTTTCAAGTTCAGCATGTCATAGCCAAAAATCAGTTGCCTATTAACTGGTTGATTAAATTTCCAAATGAACACTCAGTTTTGAACTTTCATTTTGCTTTATATTCACCCTAGAATGTTACTGCCAAAGTTGTATTTTGGGTTGACTCGTCTTTATTTTCTTGCTCATATTTTGCCGCTTTGATTGAAGTCTCAGACAACCAACGGAACAAAAAGGAAAAGAATTCTGCTTTTGGGCATATATTTGGTTTTTCTGTGTTTTTAATTTCTGTCTTCTAGGAAAGGAAGGAGTTCTTTTTTAGGATTGTATTAGACCTTTCTAATGCTAACTATGCATCTGCCTGCACCCTCAATTTTTTCTTCTTTGAATTAGAGGTTAGTATATAATATATACATTTCCATTGTCATTTTCATTTTCGTTTTGAACCTGGATGGTTAACTATTCAAACTGTTATTGCCTTCTGTAGTTTAGTTGCAAAACTGAACTGGGTCATTTACAAGCATTATTTTGTTACTCTTATTGTGTTTTCCTGAATGATGACATTTTTCTTGCACCTTTCATAACTGAATGGCATGAATTGATCTGTGGCTAAGATTTCAAGTCCACCAAATTTGCTTTCCTGGAACTCCTTGGTTTAAGGATAAAGAGGAGCTTTTGCTGATAGAACCAGAACAAAGATGAGCTGCTCTCGTGGATGAAATTTGAATCAAAATTCTTAATGGCGCTTGATTTACATTCTCACCATGGTGCTGCAAAGCGACTATTCATGCATCACTGTCGGCTTTCTGCTATCAGGTAGTCCCTTTCCCCACAATCCCTTTGCTTCCTCTTTAACTTTCTCTCTTACCAAACATACTATTTGTAAATAGGTATTTCTCATCTTGGCGAATGAAGAGTGTCAACGATAATAGCCATGAACAAGGGTTGAACCGCAGTGATAAACAGAAATCATCCACCAAAACCAAAACAGCTAAATCCATGGCACGTCTAATCAATTCAAAACCTTGGTCAACTGATCTTGAGTCTTCTCTATCTTCTCTATCTCCTTGTTTATCAAAAACTGCTGTCCTTCAAACTCTTAGTCTCGTAAAAACTTCATCTAAGGCTGTCCGATTCTTCAATTGGGTTGAAAACATGGGCTTCTCTCACAACTCCCAATCTTTTTTCTTGATGCTTGAAATATTGGGACGAGAGCGGAATCTCAATGCAGCTCGTAACTTCTTGCTCTCTATTGAGAGAAGGTCTAATGGGTCTGTTAAGCTTGAGGACCGCTTTTTTAATAGCTTGATTAGAAGTTACAGCAAGGCTGGGTTGTATCAAGAGTCTGTTAAGGTTTTTGAGATGATGAAAAGCATTGGTGTGTCTCCTTCTGTTGTTACATTCAACAATCTCCTACAGATTTTGCTTAAACGAGGACGCACTAATATGGCAAGGAGTGTGTTTGATGAAATGCTAAGCACATATGGGGTTACCCCAGATGTTTACACCTTTAACATTTTGATTAGGGGTTTTTGCATGAATTCCTTGGTGGATGAGGGGTTTAGGTTTTTCAAGGAAATGGAGCGGTTTAGATGTGACCCTGATGTTGTTTCATATAATACACTTGTGGATGGCTTATGCAGGGAGGGAAAGGTTAAGATTGCTCATAATGTGGTGAAGGGTATGAACAAAAAGAGCTTGCATTTGAATCCCAATGTTGTTACTTATACGACTTTGGTTAGAGGATATTGCATGAAAAGAGAAGTTGAAGATGCATTGGCAGTTTATAGAGAGATGGTTAGTCAAGGATTAAAACCAAATAGGATTACATATAACACTCTAATAAAGGGACTTTGTGAGGTACAAAAGTACGATAAGATAAAAGAAATAATGGGGGGAGCCAAAGAATATGGAGGTTTTATTCCAGATACATGTACTTTTAACACATTGATAAATGCACATTTCGATGCAGGAAACTTGGGTGAAGCATTAAAAGTGTTTAAGAGTATGTCAGGTTTCCATGTCCAGCCAGATTCAGCTACATATAGCATTCTTATCAGGAATTTGTGTCAACAAGGGGACTTTGAAAGGGCAGAGGAATTATTTGATGAGCTAGCAGATAAGGAAATATTGTTAGGTGATGCTGGTTGTGTACCCCTTGTTGCAGCATACAATCCCATGTTTGAGTATTTGTGCAGAAATGGGAAAACTAAGAAGGCTGAGAGAGTCTTCAGGCAGCTAATGAAGAGGGGAATACAAGACCCTCCTTCTTACAAGACTTTAATCATGGGACACTGTAGGGAAGGTACATTTGCAGCTGGATATGAGCTCCTTGTCTTGATGTTGAGAAGAGATTTTTGCCCTGACTTTGAGACCTATGACTTGTTAATTAATGGTCTATTGGAGAACAATGAAGCTCTTCTTGCACAGGAGACCCTAGAGAAGATGCTGAAAAGCTCCCATCTACCTAAATCATCTACTTTTCATTCTATTCTTTCTGAGCTTCTGAAAATGAGTTTCGCCCATGAATCTGCCAAGTTGATAATGTTAATGTTGGAGAGAAGAATAAGGCAGAACAGCGCTCTATCAACACATGCTGTAAAGTTGTTGTTTGATAGGCGGTTGCGGGATAAAGCTATACAAATTGTTGAGATACTTTATGACAATGGTTTTGTTGTTGAGATGGAACAATTAATTTGTTACCTCTGCCAGGATAGAAAGATGTTGGAAGCATACAAAATGTTGATGTTTTGTTTGGAAAAGAATCTAACCGTTAATACTGAAATGTGCAGCACAGTTATTGAAAGCCTTTGCAAAAGCAAGAAACTTTCAGAAGCATTTGGTTTGTATTATGAACTAGCCGAGAGAGGAAAACATCAAGAGTTGAGATGCCTTGATAATTTCAGAATTGCCTTAGAGGCAGATGGGAGGTCAAATGAAGCTGAGTTTGTGGGTAAGAGGATGCTGCAGTCAGGAAGATTTTCTCCAACATTCAGCTCCAGGACACAAGAACATTAGAACTTGTAGTCATTGTGCTTTTGTTATTTTGTAAATGTGAATTTTAAAATTTAAATGAAACAACAAAAGTTGAGGCAATTCTTTTGATGTTTGTGTCATGTTTGATGATTGTTGATTTCAAGGTTAGTCTTCGTTGGTGATAATGTACCAAAGGAAAGAGCTGTCAAGGCATTGGAAGCTGCAGAGGATGTGATGCCTTCCTTGTACTTGGATCATCTGTCATGACCATTCCACTTCTATCTATCGCGCCCTTGTCAGGTATATTATATGTATCATTTTTCTAGTTATCTTTCATATCCAAAGAACAAGCCTTCAGTTATACACGTATGCTAGACACCACCCTCCTTGGGAGAATCCTATTACATCTATAATTGGTTTGCCGTGCCATTTATGTATACATCTTAGAGCAGACTTACATGTTTCAAAGTGTTCCAAGTCTTCCTGGTGGAGTCTAGTCCTTCCGTCTTTTGGATTTGTGGAGTATATCAGGTCCATTGGATACATAATTTCCCTGCTAATTTTCTGCTTGATCTTGCTAATTTTATATTCTTCCGGAAACAAAAATGCTTGGTTTTGTATGGAAAATATAGAAATTGAAAGTTCTTTTTTATCTAAACAAATAGAAAAAGAATCTATACGATATAAAGATTTATAATACATTCCCTTCATCCCCCAATATTTATTGTTATTAATGGTAAAAAAAAACAAGGAAAAAGGTAAAATCACA